AAGCAGAAAAAAATAAAAAATAAAAAAATCATGTTACAATTAAGTGAGTGGCGGCCCAAGGGAAGCCCTTTGACTATGATTTCCAATTCTCTGTTCAATCCACACTGCAGAGATACAACGGTAAACCACCAATTGGGCTCCCAAGTTTTATTCAAGAGCTCATACAAAATATTCCAGATAAATGAAATTTAATCCTTGTCTTCCTCCTCTTCTTCGTCCTGGTTAATTTGGAAGTAACATAATTTGTAACTCTCTTTACGGTTAGCAGCTATGCACAACCAATCATGAAGATTATTCTTCTTCAAATATTTTTTGGTGAGGTATTTCAAATACCTTTTGGAAAAAGGCACCTCGGATGTCACGGTGATCATCCTCTTGCTCCTTTGGATGGTCACCATCCCTCCACCAAAGTTCCCAGCTTTCCAGTTCACTTTGATCCTTTCTTGCAAAAACTGCTCAAAATTGGCAGTATCCATGATTCCATCTTCTATGGGGTGGGTGCAATCAAGAGTGAACTTCAGAACCTGCTTTTTTTTTTGCCTCCCTTCACCACAGCTTTCTCACGGGCACCATGGGAGTAGTGGAGGCAGAAAGCCAGATATCTCTTTAACATATTGATTTTCTTTCCTTTGGATGTATATCCAGTAGTGGGATTGCTGGATCATATGGTAGCTTAATTTTTAGTTTTCTGAGGAACCTCCATACTGTGTTCCACAGTGGCTGTACTAATTTACATATCCACCAACAGTGTGTAAGAACTCCCTTTAATCTGCATCCTCTCCAGTACTTGTTATTTTTTGTCTTTTTGATTATAGCTGTTCTGATTGGGATGAAATGAAATCCCGTTGCAGTTTAGATTTGCAGTTCCCTGATGGTTAATGACATTAAGCATTTTTTCTTATACTTGTTGGCCATTTGTAGATCTTTTGAAAAACGCCTACTTAGATCATCTGCCCATTAAAAAAAAATAGGGTTATTTGTTGTTGTGTTTTATTTGCGATTGAGTTATTTGAGTTCTTTATTTATTCTAGATATTAATCCCTTGTCAAATAAGTAGTTTGTAAATAGTCCCTCCCATTGTGCAAGTTCACTGTTTACTCTGTTGATTGTTTCCTTTGCTGTGCAGAGGCTTTTTGTTTGATATAATCCCATTTGTCTATTTTCGTTTTGTTGCCTGTGCTTTTGTGGTCTCATCCATAAAATCTTTGCCTAGATCAATGACCTAAGCATTTTCCTTAGGTTTTCTTCTGGTAGTTTTACAGTTTTGGGTCTTGCATTTAAGTCTGTAATCCATTTTGAGTTTGTTTTTGTATATGGTGAGATATAGGGGTCTAGTTTTATTCTTCTGCATATGGATAACCAGTTTTGTCAGTACCACTTATTGAAGAGGCTGTCCTCCCGCCAGTGTACATTCTTGATGTCTTTGTTGAAAGTCAGTTGGCTGTAGATACATGTATTTATTTCTGGGTTCTCTATTCTGTTTCAGTAGTCTATGTATCTGTTTTTATGCCAGGACTGTGCTTTTCGGGTTATTATTTTGTACTATATTTTGAGGTCAGGCAGTGTGATGCCTCCAGCTTTGTTCTTTTTATCAGATTTGCTTTGGCTAGTCCGAGTCTTTTGTGGTTCCATATGAATTTTAGGATTGTTTTTATTTCTGCAAAGAATATCATTGATATTTTGATAGAGATTGCACTTAATCTGTAGATCATTTGGAATAGTGTGGTCATTTTAAAAATATTAATTCTTCCAACCCATGAACATGGAATATCTTTCCATTTCTAGGTCCTCTTCAATGTTTTTCATCAATCTTTTATTGTTTTCATGGTAAAGGTCTTTCACCTCCTTGGTTAAATTTATTCCTAGGCTTTATTTTATTTTATTTTATTTTATTTTATTTTGGTAGCCTTTTAAAATAAGATTGCTTTCTTGTTGCCATCTATATGTCCATGAGTACCCAATGTTTAGCTTCCACTTATAAGTGACAACATGTGGCATCTGATTTTCTGTTCCTGGGTTTATTCACTTAGGATGATGGCCTCCAGCTGCATCCATGCTGTTGCAGAGCATAGGATTTTGTTCCTTTTTACGGCTGCATAGTATTCCATGGTATATGTGTACCATGTATTCTTTATCAAATCCACCACTGATGGGCACCTAAGTTGATTCTATATCTTTGCTCTTGTGAATAGTGCTGTGATGAACACATAAGTGCAAGTGTCTTTTTGGTAGAACAATTTTTCTTTTGGATATATACCTAATAATGGGATTTCTGGGTTGAATGGTAGTTCTGTTTTTAGTTCTTTGAGGAATCTCCAAACTGCTTTCCACAGTGGCTGAGCTAGTTTACATTCCTACCAACAGTGTATAAGCATTCTCTTTTCTCCACAGTCTTGCCAGCATCTGTTGTTTTTGGACTTTGTAATAGTAGCCATTCTTACTGATGTGAGATGTTTTTTCATTGTGGTTTTGATTTGCATTTATCTGATGAATTAGTGATGTTGAGCATCTTTTCACGTTTCTTGGGCACTTACATGTCTTCGTTTGAGAAATGTCTTTTTTGTTTGTCAATTTGTTTCCATTCCTTATAGATTCTAGATGGTAGACCTTTGTCAGACATGTAGTTGTGAATAATTTCTCCCATTCTGTAGGCTATCTGTTTACTCCAAATTATACAAAGAATTCTTAACAGCCAATAATGATAAAATTAATGATCTAATTAATAAGTAAGTAAGAGATCTGAATAGATATCTCACCAAAGAAGATACACAAATGGCAAATAACTGTATGAAAAGATGCTCAACATCGTATGTCACCAGGGAACTGGAAATTAAAACAACAATTACATATCACTAAACACCGATCAGAATGGCTAAAACCCAGAACACCGACGACATCGAATGCTGGTGAGAATGTGGAGCAACAGGAATTCTCCCTCAATGCTGGTGGGAAAGCAAAACGGCACCACTGCTTTGGAAGAGTTGGGCAGTTTCTTACAAAACTTAACATACTCTTACTACACAATCTAGTAATCAAGCTCCTTGATATTTATCCAAAGAAGTTGTAAATGTACGTCCCCACTGAAAATGCACAGGAGTGCTTACAGCAGCTTTATTCACAATTGTCCCAAACTGGAAACCATAGGTGAATGGATAAACAAACTGTGCTATATCTATACCATGGAATATTATTCAGCAACAAAAGAACATGAACTACATATTTTTTTTCTGTTTTGTTTTGTTTTGTTTTGAGACAAGCTCTGGTTCTATTGCCCAGGCTGGAGTGCAGTGGTGCGATCTTGGCTCACTGCAATCTCTGTCTCCCAGGCTGAAGCCCTCCTCCCACCTCAGCCTCCTGAGTAGCTGGGACTATAGGCAGGCACTATTATGCCCAGCTAATTTTTTTATTTTTTGTAGAGATAGGATTTTGCCATGTTGCCAGGTTAGTCTTGAACTTGTGAGCTCAAGAGGCCTGCTCACCTCAGCCTCCCAAGGTGCTGAGATTACAGTCATGAGTCACCATGCTGTCCAGGACATGAACTAATAAGCCATGCAAAATCATGGAGAAACTTTAAATGTATGTTGCAAGGTGAAAGAAGCCTGTTGGAAAAGGCTACACACTGTAAGATTCCAACCATCTGACATTCTGGAAAAGGCAAAACTATAAAGGCAGTAAAATGATCAGTAGTTGGTGGGAATGGGAGGGAGGAATAAATAGGTGGAGCACAGAGGATTTTTTGTTTATATACATTAAGTTCTAGGGTACATGTGTACAACCTGCAGGTTTATTACATATGTACACATGTGCCATGTTGGTGTGCTGCACCCGTTAACTCGCCATTCACATTAGGTGTATCTCCTAATGCTATCCCTCCCCCGCCCCCACGACAGGCTCCCGGTGTGTGATGTTCCCCTTCCTGTGTCCAAGTGATCTCGTTGTTCAATTCCCACCTATGAGTGAGAACATGTGGTGTTTGGTTTTCAAACTATTTTGTGTGATTCTGTGATGATGGACATATGCCATTGTGCATTTGTCAAAAGCCCTAGAAGTACAAAACATAAAGACATAGCCCGGCCAGGCACGGTGGCTCACGCCTCTAATCCCAGCACTTTGGGAGGCCGAGGTGGGCAGATCACCTGAGGTCAGGAGTTCAAGACCAGCCTGGCCAACATGGCAAAACAACATCTCTGTAAAAATACAAAAAATAGCTGGGCATGGCGGTGTGTGCCTGTAATCCCAGCTACTCGGGAGGCTGAGATGGGAGAATCACTTGGACCCAGGAGGCAGAAATTGCAGTCAGCTGAGATGGTGCCATTGCACTCCAGCCTGTGTGACAGAGCTCGATTCTGTCTCAAAAAAAAAAAAAAAAAAAAAAAAGGTATAGCCCTAATTTAAATTATGGATTCAGTGAATAATAATGCATCATTATTTGTTAATCAGCTATAACAAATGTACCACAGTAAAGAAAGCTAATGATAGAGGAAACTGGAAGAGGGGAGATAAGGAGAAAGTGGGGGAGGAAATATAGGAAACGTTGTATTTTCTGCTTGGTTTTTCTGTAAAACCAAGCTCTAAACATAGTCTATTCGTTTTTAAAAAGCTAATGAAATGTTTGAAAAAAAGGTAAAGATATTGAGAAAAAGTCATGGCTTCAGTAGTTGAGTAATGAGCACAGCACATTTGATCGACAATTCTGAAATCTACATTAAACATACCTTAGTTTCTATTAAATTCCAGGAATTGTATAAAGAATTAGAACATATGAACTAATTTTCCAAAACCCTCCTGTAAACATGTAGAAAGAGCTAAAGAGATACTATATCAAGCCACTGTTCTAGGTGGTGACACTGATTTGGAAAATGTTTATAAATGTGCCAATCCAAAATTATAAAAGTCATTTTGATCTCTAAGCATGACAAGGTATTTGTGAAATCTTGCATAGACTCAAGTGCTGTTTCCATAAATATTCTTCAGTATTTTTTTTAATCATACACAACAGATGATGCTATGGTTTGGATGTTGGCCCTCAAACCTCATGTTAAAATTTAATACCCAGTGTTGGAGGTGGAGCCTAATGGGAGCTTTGGATCATGGGGGTGGCTCCCTCATGAGTAGATTAATGCCCTCCCTGGGGGGTGGGGGGTGAGTGAGTTCTTGCTCTGTTAGTTCCCATGAGAACTGGTTGTTAAAGGAGTGAGCCTGGCACCACCTCCTCTTTCTCTTGCTTCCTCTCTCGCCATGCAGCCTCTGCAAACCGACTCCCCTTTGTCTTTCTTCATGAGTGGAGGCAGCCGGAGGCTCTTGCCACATGCCCAATCTTTCAGCCAACAGAATTGTGAGTCAAATAAATCATTTTTCTTTATAAACTATCCAGTCTCAGGTATTCCTTTATAGCAACACAGATGGGCTAAGACAGATGATATCCATTCTTAGTAACATAGCACAAATAATATAGTTACATGCCTTTCTAATCCTTGATTTCTTTATATATGAAACATGATTCATATAGCACCATGATCTTCCCAATATTACTGAAAATTTATTAATAAAATACT